CTAAACAAATTTAATTCTGTACATAAGCTTCCTAGAAAATAGGAACTAACTACCTAATATTATTCGACACCCCCCCTCAAGTTGGTTTGTAAATATCGAGCAAACCCAACTTGCTAACAAGTGACTCAAAAGTAGGCTTGAAGAGCCCCTTAGTTAGAACATCTGCTGTTTGTTCCGTTGTTGGAAGAAACGGTATGCAAACTGCACCACTCTCAATCTTCTCTTTGATGAAGTGTCTGTCGATCTCCACATGTTTGGTTCGGTCATGCTGTACGGGATTGTTTGCTATGCTTATTGCAGCCTTGTTGTCACAGTACAACTTCATAGGACCGTCCATAGGTAGTTTAAGTTCTTCCAAGATCCTTTTCAACCAAATCAGTTCACAAATCCCACTTGCCATGGCTCTAAATTCGGCTTCTGCACTACTTCTTGCAACAACGTTCTGTTTTTTACTCCGCCATGTAACTAAATTACCCCAAACATATGTGCAATATCCTGTTGTGGACCTTCTGTCAGTAACTGAACCAGCCCAGTCAGCGTCGGTGTAGGCCTCAATTCCCCTGTGCTCCTTTCTTTCAAAGAACAATCCTTTTCCTGGAGTACCTTTAAGATACCTAAGAATTCTGTATGATGCTTCAAGGTGTTCTTTCTTTGGTGAGTGCATAAATTGACTAACCAAACTTACCGCAAATGCAATATCTGGACGAGTATGAGACAAGTAGATGAGCTTTCCAACTAATCTTTGATACCTGCCTATATCCACTGGAATACCCAAACTGCTATCACCCAATTTGAGGTTAGGATCAACTGGAGTATCTACTGGTTTGCATCCTGACATTCCTGAATCCTTCAAGAGATCCAGAATATACTTCTGTTGACTCACAATCAATCCCTTCTTTGATCTTGCTACTTCCATGCCCAAAAAATACTTAAGGGCTCCAAGATCCTTAATTTCAAATTCCTTGGTGAGATTCTTCTTCAATTTGTCAATTTCTTCATAGTCATCACCTGTTAAAATTATGTCATCAACATAAACTATTAGTATCACAATCTTCTCCCTGTCTGTTCTCTTAAAAAACATGGTGTGATCGGATTGCCCTTGTAAGTAGCCTTGTTTTTTAACAGACCCTGCAAATTTGTCAAACCAAGCCCTTGGTGACTGTTTAAGTCCATATAAGGATTTTTTTAGCTTACAAACCTTAGTTCCAAACCGTACTTCAAAACCCGGTGGTGGTACCATATAAACTTCTTCCTCCAAGTCTCCATTGAGGAAAGCATTCTTGACATCTAGTTGTTGAAGAGGCCAATTGAGGTTGACAGCAACACAACAAAACCCGAACTGTATTTAACTTGGCTACTGGAGCGAATGTCTCCATATAGTCAATTCCATAGGTTTGAGTGAAACCCTTTAATTTTCAATATTCACAATATCTTTAATTTTTGAAGTATCAGTTTCTGACTCAGTAATAACATTTTGATTTTCCTCATTTAAATTTGAAGTTGGCTCAGGATTTTGTGAATTTAAATTCAAATCTGTTTTAGCTAAAGTATTAGTTAATAAATCCGGATTTTGTTGATTATTTAGATTTGAAGTCAAATCTTTTTCAACCACTTTTTCAACCAACAAATCCGAATCTTTTTGAACCACATTTTCAGCTAACAAATCCGGACTTATAAGATTTGATTCATTTGAAAAATTATCAGAATTATCTTCCAAAGAATCCGGACTACTCAAAAAATCAAGGTCTGAAATAGTCACCGAATCTTCTTTCCTAGTATTCATATTTGAAATCTCCCCTTGAAGATGAGGGACAAAAAACAATTTGTTTTCAAAAAATGAAACATCCATAGTGACAAAATATTTTT